ATGCACCTCGCGTGTTTTCATCAGCACAAACAAGTCTGCTTTCGTTCCTCAAACCCTCTTAAAATATCAGCCGACAGGTCCCGTTCGAGATATTGCCCCTATGGCAGATACCCCAGGAAAACTAAATACATCTTCGATGATAGGTCAGTTTTATTAATCACCCTATGGGAAAATATTGCTTCGATGATAGCGCACCGAGGGATGCAAACATCGTCTCATGCAAATGCGATCCTATAGATCTGTCCTATATTTTTAACGTCGTTTCAGATCGTCGGTAGCATGTGTCTAGAGTGCTCTAACGATAAGGATATCAGAAATTAAGCGATGACGAGTGTTATCGATATTATTATCACAGCCGTAAAGAGCGTGTGCCAAGATTATAGTCGAAACAATTAATGCTCTCCGATGGCGATATGAGTGTCAGTAAAAACAACTGTCATACAAGTAGATTGCCAATGTTATTCAACCATATTTTTCCCACTTAAATTGTTTGTCTAAATTCGTTCAAGCAGCGAGCTGCTGGACGCTTTTAAATAACAACGCTTCCACGATGATTATACAGAACAATATCAGATCTTTTTATTTACAACCCATTTATTATATCCCGTTTTCTGGTGAAAAAGCGTCATGCATCTAACGTAAATAGACTACATGTATACCTAGAAATGTTGCCAACGTGCAAAGCTGAGAGAAGTTACTTGTTTCAACATTTATCGCTCTGGAAGGTCGGTAAATTGACATGAATGTCATCTGAGAGGGCGTGCGCGACGTCAGTCGACCGACATGAGTTTACGGAGTGATCCGCTGGACTAACTAATGGCCATGCGTTAATGCGTTAAATCAATAGCATTTAATACTTTCTAATGATTTTTTATTTACGATTGTAATAGCTATATATATATATATATAGCTATATTCGATTAGCAGAACGCACCTTCTATCCTCAATACTCATCGGAATGGAATTAAAACAGAAAGCTTTAGAAGTCTCCTGATCTGGCGAAACAAAGCGACGAGGACCTGAAGTTAGGGATCCTCTCTTTCAAGTGATGTACGGCAGTATTTGTACTTTGTGATGTCTTAATTTAAGTAATTATATTAGTCTTTGATTGTTTATACGAAATAAACTACAAGATTAGATGTTTGTTGCTGAGTCGATCTGCGTCATTATCTTGTGATAGTTCAGCTGACTAATTATATTTATATAACTGGCCTAATTGTTAATTAATGGACTTGCACAACGGTAACACGTCGCAACGTTATCGGCATAGTATAATTCGTTGCTTGTGTTCTACGCTAAACCCAGTTTCACTTCGCAGGCGCCGCCAGAAGCCCAAATAGTACCTAGGTCTACCCAGTTACACCAGGTGTCCAGCGTTTTTTCAATCATTCAGTTGAAAATTGAATCGTTAGGGTGGCCTGAGTAATAGTGTTTCCGCTTTTTTCCATTTTTCTGACGCGTTTTTTTCTGTTAATTTCTGCTACCGCTACTGTTGCAGCTGCACACATAAATAACAAAAGCAGGGTGACTGTGGTACCCTACCCGTGTTTGTTCGTGTCTGCGTATATGTGTGTCTTTATATCCGAAAGTTATATCGCATGTCCTCCCTGTTGTTCATCCTGCCTTGTTCAGAAGAGCACATTCGGTCAGTTAGTCGACGCTGATACTGAAACTGGTATTGTTATGTTGTCGTTCTGTGCATGGCAGATTGAATGTCGAGCACAACGGTGTGTACGTGTGCGTGGTTGCAGTTGACTATATGTGTAGCATGCACGTATAACACATAAGGCCTTGGCAATTGCTTTTGGCAAACAGCGTACCCAGCCCCCGCGATCCAACTATTGGGGCTTACACATCGCTGTGCTATTTCTTTGATGCTCTGTTGGTCTGTCTGCCAGTTGGGATGACTGTGGCAGAAGGTACGTCGATGGTTGCTAGACACACAGTAGCTGAAAAAGCTCGCGTAATAGTGGATTAGCGTTGGTTGGCTACATTATCAATAGTAACAGATCTGTTGTTATCATTGATGACGCTGTTGTTGCCGAATCACTTTTGCTGTGTTACTATTAAAAGAGTGACAAAGAGCTTACAGACGATGGGAACGAGGCCATCAGTTAAACAAACCCGCGTCTCTGCGACGAAACGAGGCAGTAGACCAATACCAAGCGGCGACGCACCAACAGCCAGCATAAACATTATCTCATCATGTCATTTCCGTTTTTTGCTCCGCGGTTTAAACAGTACAAAATAATGTTTTCTTCATTCAGAGAAAACGAATCGAAGGCATCCAAGCAGGTTGAAGTGCGAGATTCTCGCTTACATACAGACCGAGCGCTCAGTATATTTACTCACAAACAGAAACGGTACAGGGCGGTATGGGGAACGGTTTGATGCTAAATTAAGCGAAATTTCAGTCCTAGAATACAATCTCCCTTATTCTTCTTAGAGAAAAAGAATCGAAGCATATTATGGTCCATTTCGGAAACGCTGTATTACAATATAATCCATCTGTCATAGTTGTCGCTTAATTATTTGTTGCACTGCAATGTCAGTTACACACAGTAACTGTGTGACGACTATCAAAAAGACTACGTGTGTATATGCGTATAGGTTTCTGCGGAGCCGGGTGGAGTCCAACAAAATGATCGCATCCAACCTCGCAGCCGCCGGGGGGTGCTTTTCTCCCCCAACGCCAGCTGTTGCTGTTTTCCTTCCAGATGACAGCAGCTGGAAGATAATCTTTGTTCGTGTCAGAAAAAAGAGTTGTTATTTTAAGCAGCATCCGCAATAACAGACAATGGTCTAGTTGCGTTGGAACTCATTTTTTAATACGACATATTGTAACTCTACCTTTTAGCCACAGGCTAGCGCTGCTTTATACCGCGTACGCTAAGAGTCATTAATTATATGGTAAACATTTCTATGACAAATCGAATGGTACGTCTATTTGAAGCATATAGGCATGTTATAAAATGAGTAAATATGCATCGGAAGAAATACTAGACGTGTACTATGATTTATCTTCTTCTACCTAAGTATAAATAATCGATTATTGAAAACTTGTGAATCGATAGAATACATGCTATATATTTTCGTTAGAAACAGCTGATATGTCATAGAAGTATGCAGTAAATACACGAAATTCACAAATATGGATATGTCGCCAGAACTATTGGCTATCTCATTAAAAAAAAATATTCCAGCCTTTTATCGAAGAAAACAAATTTTCCAAAATGTGAAGGTATATATTCTCTACTTCGTTTACGTTTCATTTATGATGGGCTTTCTTTTTTGTCGAACTCTTTACAATCAAGCAATTACCACATATTATTTTAGATATATTCGAAACATCTGCCCTGCCAGTGACAGAGTCTCGTTATTACGTTTTTTACGCAAGAAATAGATGATATAAAAACCGAGGCGTATGATCAATAAATTTAATTAGTTCAGAATCCTTGAGACTTTTTGCGCGGCAAATTACATTTTTTTAAAAAAGGCAAGCACTATTCTGTATTATTCATATATCGATGGTGAACATTTTGAGTGCTTTGGAATTATTTCAAAAGGCTTAAGAGTATTTCCGTTTTTGATAATATATAGCAATTAGACATTAGACTTATTTATCACCCATGTCAACAAATACATGTCATGTTTTAGCAACCAAACTCGTCGTCAGAACGTATGATCCGCTTTAACGTCCCCGACTGTTTCGCGTATTTCGGCGCGTTTCAGTGCATTGATTCAGAATTTTCTCTTATTTTTCGGCTCTTCTGCACGTTATTATTAGTGGACCGCCGCCGACAAAAGTAGCTGACCGAAACTGACGATCATCTATTTGTCTTCCTGCTTCATGAATGTCCGTATTCTTATTACAGCGTTGATAGTTATTACTAAAAGGGACTGCGTCTTTTTGCACTATCGCCTAGTCCTCAATATTGTGTCAACAAAAGGATAAGGACAAGCAGCGAAACCAACAGAAACCGATCGAATCGGAAACACAATGGCGGAAAAGTCCATTTTAGGTAGGAAAATCGTCCACCCACGGAACAGAAGCTTAACACTACTAACACTGCGCGCTGCAAACCTGTTTACGCTTCCACGTATTCGATTATTGGTCATAGTGGCTTTACTGGTTGTGCCGTGATTCACAAGGAATATTTCGAGAATCATCTAACTTTCTATAAGTAAGTTCACTCAGTTAAGCAGAAAGCGTTAGGACGGATCAGACAAAAATGTTGACCTTCAGATAAAAGTAAGTGCACCGAGCAAATTTACTAAGCAGTTCTGAACTAACATAAGCAAACAGAATGGATATATGTTGAACATATTAGAATCAACAAATTATAGTTTTTAATTCAGCGTAACTGCTTGTTTGTAGTAGTTAATAGGACTACGGGACCCATTTGACAATAGCGTATTGTCACATAACCTCTGGTGCTAAGTAAGCTAACTGTTGTTCGCTAAGATGGACGTTTCTCCTACCAATAACTAAATCTGAATGAAAATTATGTCGCCAATATGATCTTATGTGTGAAACGTATAGCACTTCCTGACGCATTTGTGGTAACCAATACATTATTCGAGCGAAGGTAGGTTTTCATAACAAAAGTAGTTGAGTCCACTCAGTAAACAATTCATTAGCATTAGTGTCAAACCAGGTGGGTACACATATCTAGATCTTTCCGACATGTCTTCAACGCCAGTCACCTAGTGCACACTTGCCTTACTTAAGCCTTTAGCAAATGTTCTCGAAGATATGGATATCTCAGACGCAATCGATTTTTCCTATTCCACTCAAGTCATGTGAAAAATCGAATCACTCTCGATTAGGAATAGTTTTGAGAAGTTTATTGGCTTTCAAAACTTCGAAAGTTCCATGTAAGCTGGGTAAAAAAGTATTCGATAACCCCACAATATGCCAAAGAGCCACAAACAGCTTAAAACTTTTGTGATTCGACTAATCTGCGAATTGCAAGTGCAATTACTTGAAATTTACTCACTTCATTTCGCTGCGAGAACAGCGTCCGTTTGCGAACTCTGCTACGTAGACAGTCGGTCGCTGGCCTGACATATTGCCACTGTATTGTGCTGAGTCTCACTATTAGCATACATGCACAAAGTCACCAAAATGAGTGCACACACAGTCCTATGCCGCCGAAAATCGACGGTCGGTTTCGTTAGTCGATAGTCCTTCGGTGCTTCGTCATGCAGACCGATGCAGTCACTGCGATTCACAAGAAGGACCCATGCGTACGCAGTGTTAGCGAGCTGACCCGAGTAGCGCGAGTCGTTGCGGTGGCCACGCTATGTCCTGCGGTAGCCGCTATCGCACCGGTTCTGCCTTCGCCATGCAGAGGGCGAGGAGTATGTTATTTCTCGCTATGGTGGCAATGACTGTGGCCGTGCCGGTGGTTTCAGTGAGGGCAGATTTCTGCGCACTTCTCTTATTTGGCTACACCGGTGAGTGAGTTTGCGCCGCCGGCGACCGTCGGTGATACTACCACTGGTTGAGCTGCTTCTGCCACTCCGCGGTGAACGTTGAGGCATACACTGTTGTCGCGTGGGTAAAGACGGCCGATGATGATGGACGAACTGAGGCTGGTGCTTGTAGTAGTTATAACAGACGTTTTGGTGATGGGGTAGAAGCAGAGCGGATGGGCCAAGCTGTGTACCTGCATTGTACGCGGCGATCGTACAGTTAGTCGATGGTTTGTCCTTCTACACGCATGTTGATGGTCATGTTGCTGTTGGTTGATACAGCCAGCCAAATTTGATGCGGTATTTTGTATTCCGAATTTGATGGTATCCAAAAGCATAGCACGAACTTGTGACGGGAGGAACATCTTTACTGCATTATTAAAACTCTCCTCTACAAATTTACATACACATACAACAACTTCCATTTCGACTCACTCCAAATATTTTCATGATAGTTTTCCGTTAATAAAAATTTAGATCTTTGCGGTATGTGAAATGGGCCTTGAAGCTCACTTGCTATAAGTGTGCTATAAGTTTCCTTGCACTCATCGAAATGCAGAGCTTCTATAATAACCTACAATGGCGGTTGAGATGTAACACAGGGCACGATTAATGGAACCTTAAGCGATATCTGTTTTAGTACGGGTGGCAAACGAATTGGATCATATTGCTTGCAATAGCTATCACTGAGTGCCGAAAAAATAAATGCTATCTCGGTGTTCACCACTAAAATCACTGGAGAAGGAACTTATTTTTAAACATCGTTTAGATTGAGTAGTTTTAGTAAAGTGAATTAAGTTTCGAAACTCGGGTCCTTTTTACATTAAACTACATTAATTACATTAAATTGTTAGTAAGAGAGATGCAATTGCCTGCAGAACGGTATACAGAAGGCAGAAATTCATGTAACTTACCCGAAATCGTGACGTGTTCTATTGACGGCAAACTTATTATACGGCAAACGTTAACATTTCACTTAAACGTGTTTGTTTTGGCTATAAGTTAAAAGAATATTTAATTGAAGCTATTTTTAGTTAATAATTATCTGGTGATGTGAGAGCACTTCTTTGATTAAATACAAACATTTCTGTTGAAAATCCATCCGTATTTATTGGAGATTGAAAGAAACTTATTGACTGACAAATTATTTTTCCATACTTCGCTCTATGGTATTGATGATTTATATAATTGACACGTACCAATACTGAGATTTCTGTGAAAATGGTAGTGCTTAAACCTCAGTATTTGCCACCATCTTACGAGTTTTTCACGTAAACTCTCATCGCTTTCCTCTAAGATACGATATTCTGGAGGTTGAAAAATAATAAACATTTTATATATATATATATAGCGGTTTTGCAAAATTGACTGTTATATCAAAGATCCATGTCAATGGCGATTCGTGTTGATCTTCTTAAATGTTTAATACTAATCGAAATAGTATTCTTTGTGCACTTTACGGTCTTTCTCCAGAACCTATAATACCTCCTTGAAAATAACCTTTTGACATTTGTGAATTTTTTCCTCAACCAAGCAGCTGTCTTGAAGAAACCGTTGTGAAGAGCCATTTCCTAACCCGTTTGTTCGATGTTGTTCATAAACAGAGCTTATTCCTGCTCTCGAGTTATATGGCTTGTATACGGGCCAAACCTTTATCCGTTACATACATAGTACCTTTGATGCATAATTAACATGGGACTTGCCTGAACTTGTCTAGCTTGTCACCCGCTAAAATCGAATCAAAAGCACCTTGACTTGCTTCTCTAGCGATGGTACGAAGTTTTTTTCAATAACATCTAAACCAAATTGAGTGAACTCATTGATCTCTTTTTAGGAAGTAGAACATTTTAGCTTAAACAAATAAAAAACTAAATTGGTCTGTATGGGCACGTAACAGCGAAATTAAGAGAAGTATCTCATAGCTGAGAAGCAGGGTAGCGTGCACTGTCGTCACAGAATTAAGATTTTTATTAAATGTTCACTTGGTAGATTCCTAGTTCATCGTTGGATGCCGTGCTAACCAACACAAGTAAATAATATGTTGATACATTTATAAAAAAAGATAAAGTTCGTTTAGGCTACCACCAAGTATTTTATCAAATTATATGGATAAATGACACGACGTACTACTTAATTTTTATGCCAGACTCAGCTGCAGTTGAGAAGTATACCTTGACCCAAAGAGATACGAGCATGTTTGATGGTTACTTCATGCTAAGAATAAGTTTCGTTCTATGCTCAAAATGGTTTTCTTCAATGATACAATCAAAATGAGTATCGTACAAAAAATGTGTCAAACTAGCATGATGGCTCAGATCATTAAAATTTTTGCCGGTGTTCTGTGCGTTTTGTTCTAAGTTGTTCGTTGGTTTTTTATTTTTGTCTTTGCTTTTTTTTCAAAATTTACAAACAATTATCGTTCCCATCTCCATTTGGCTATCAATTTCTTTTTTTTTGTTTGTAGAACCGCAGTCTATCGAACAACCAACTGATACATAACGAAGTTGGCAGACAAAGCTTGCTTACAAAATAATACATCCATTTCTGACAAATGTTTACAAAATGGTGGTGCATTTGTGGTACGCAATCCACTGTAACAGAGGCTACTCGTTCATCAATTTGTATTCTACGACTACCCTCTCGAATGCGTTCATCCATATTTACAAAGCGCGAAGATGTTGTTTTACCGTCGATGACCGGTAGTCTGGCAAGGTGTATTAACTGAGATTTTCTACTGGTTTAAACATATGTCTAACGAGTGGATCCTTTGCGGCCCTTTGTCGTATCGATAAACAAATTGTGTGTGTGGACGGACACGTAATAATGTTTATAAAATTGTTACGTTTTCCAAGTTGTATTATATTTACCAGATAGCTGTTACGCATATAATAAGTTATCCTTTGACAAAGTGTACAATGATTTTTTGCTACATAAAGTCAGAGCAATTTTTCTCGATCTACCATATAATTTATAAATTATAGTACTAACAAAAACAAACGAAGTTCTATCAACACTATGTCACTAAAAAAGTCATACTACAGATGCAACGTACACAGCGTTTACATGCATAATAAATAATAAAAGGGATAAAGAAGACAGGGTAAAGTTTCCCCAGCAGTCTTTGTGGTAGGGAATAACTTCTTAAGGATCAATAAAGTTATAACAAAGGATAGTAAGAATATGATTTCAAATTATGAGTAAAACTTCCTCGGAACATACAGATGTATGCAAACGAGTTTCAGAGTAAAACTATAAGTAGGAGCTTAATTTTCAAAAAAAAAAGTAATTTTAAGGCAGTTTAAAGCATACCAGACTAACACCTATTTCGAGGAGCTTCTAAAAACAATACCCGACAGAAACGTAAAAAGGCTAAAGTCCGCGGAGATGCATGTGCATTAGTTCCGCGTCTTTGTAGTGTACATCTTTAGTATCCTCCGATGTTAAAAAAACATGAAAGGAGAAGACTCGATGTACTAGGAAAAATAATGAAAATGAATTCAGTTCAGCTCAGTTCAGGGGAAATTTTCGAAGCGTAAATTTATTTTTAAGGCCGAAAAGGCGACGTATGTGCATAATATGCAAAGAAGGCCACACTACAAGTGACAAAAATTGGAACAATTAAAAAGCTCTTACTTTTTGACCTAATCGACAGTGGAACAATTGCATAAGGAACTACCGTTTTCTTACTTACTTAAACCTACGATATCCACAATATATGAAGCAGTCGAGAAGAATTGGTATGCGACTATAACGACTGTAAAATCGGAGGCGAACTTCTGAAGTTTCCATGTGAACAAATATGTAATTGAAGAAGATAATAAAGTTTGTCAAAACATAAACATGATACATCTGCCCAAGAGACGAAGGTTCAATTTCGCTATCACTCAGAAGAAAGCCTGTATGTAAATTATGGGTTAATCACGGCCTTGTGTAGATTTAGTAGCTATGAGGTCAAAAAGCACTTTTGACTTCTAGAACTAAGTAGGCGATCAGGTTGTATTTATACTACTAAAAATTAAATTAGCCTAATTACTACATGTCGTTTTTAGGCAACGTTTAGCTCTAACTCAGTAGATGTATTCCGGACTACGTTGACCTTCAAATTAACAGACTAATAAAAATAATCCATTAAGTATCATAATGAAACCATTGATCCCCGTCAGTGAGTAACTTAGAATAATAATCGTAATTGCGTTACGAGTATACTCCAATCAAACCTTCCTTTTAAACATTCTGATTTCTATTAAATTATCTCACCGTAAGTTTGTCTAATCTCATCATACCTGAAAAAACTGGCTAATGATAAATACGTATAGCTTCAAATCTACATTAATCAAATACTGAATCTATGGATGGTTTTCATCGAAAACTAACGTACGCCTTTGAAGCACAGGCCCCTAAAGAAAACTAGAATGCAATTTTATTTTATAATAGATACAATGCGTTGCTTACAACAACGCTTTGATACACTATATGATGTATTGTCGAACATTGTATTAAAAACTTTTAATACGTTTCAATAAAAAAAAAAACACGTAAGTATAACTAATATTCAAAATGTCATCTTATGCTAAAGTAAATTCCAGTATAAGTATGGTTATTTCTTTTATAATACTTCCCTTAGTCCAGAGCGGCGAGTGACGTGAAGAAATGAGCTTGCTCAGATATGCGCACATGCACAGGAACGGGTATGGCCGCTCACCAGTGTCCCACCAACGTCGAGCCTTCGACTGATGACTGTAGTTTTACATGCAGTCCTGACATTGACGCTAAAGATCAGTACAGTCGCGTGCTAAATTCGATTTCAGTCAGATGTTCATAACATTCGAACAGTTATGCCCAACAACGTTCAATATGTATATGTTCAGTAACCTGTGAAGATGTCAGTCAACGGCTCGTGTAAAACAGCTTCCAGCGGCTCAAAGCCTTCAAGAATAATTGTTGTGGGTATGTATAGCAAGTACATGCAATAAATTCATTATGGGAATCGCAATGCCACAAACGCTATTCGCCTTGGCAATTTAGGTAGCTATGAGTTAGGTAACTCTGTAGAAAATGCATTGTCAGTTGGTCAGAGAACAAGACTTCATATATATGTATATATTAGGTTATAGAACAGTGCGATTTCCTCGCCTCTGTATATGTACCTAACAACTCTCACATATAAGAATAATGCAGTGATTAAAAAATGAAACAGAGCTCATGAAAATCATACACCCAGTTGCCTAAACAATACACTGGACTGGCTAGTACGCGAATAGGTATATTTCGTAAAAAAACTGATGTACAACGTATGTTATGTGTTCAGTCTTGTAGGCAGATCACAATAATTACCTTTCTTCATAATCTGAATATCGGAACTTCGTCAGAATGAGATTCTTGCTTAATCACATTTATTCACAGCGTCTTGCTTTAACATACGTGGTCTTTATTTTTCGCATTAAAAAAGCCATCATTCGCCTAATTTTCAATGTTGTTTCATTTCAACACAGTAGTAGAATACACAAAAAACGATGCAATTAGGCTTGAACAATCAGCAGACGTTGTTTTTAAATAAAATTCTTTAACTACACAAAACTCAGCATAAAATTTCTTAATTTTTCGTTTTTCAAAACTTCATATTCGACTAAATGTTTGCTTTGGGCCCACTTCATTACATTATCTTATTATTTTACACAAGATGTTCGAAAAACAACTTTAGCAATTATAACGTTCAATTTTTGTTTACATATAATTCAAATTTAAAAATGTATAGAATAATCTACACAAAACATATGCTTTTCACGTTTTATCGCAGATGCTTCGCGAATTATTACCTTCTGGGTAATACACTGCTGACTATGGCGGGCTATATATTAGCAAACTTTAACAAACATTTAATTCAATTGTCGCGCACTCTCGCTCAATTGCGGGTCTCACACCTTCCAATGTTGCCAGCTTTCTGGCGTAGAATTCAACCTTGAGATATATTCTTAGAAAAAAAGAGTCAGTTGGCGTTAAACCTGGGAACGGGCAGCGTATTTTATAAAACCTCTTTATTTAATTCAACTGTTCAAGAGACAGAGACTCTCATCAAAAAATGCTTTTACATTATGATGATAGAGCACGGGTACTTCGTCCTACTGAAAATTAAATTCCCTATTCAAGCCAAGGTCCTCAGAAATGTGTGGTAAAATAAATGGTTAAGATAAGGATGCAAAAATTGAAGGAAATGGCAATAGTGAATATATTTTTTAAAGCATCCTATATATATATATATATATATATATACGCGTATCCAGGGTTAACAGTAGTAAAAAAATCCGCTTCAGCCTATAATCAACCAAGTCAAAATGGCTCAAAAACTTGATACATATGCTAATGTCCACGGTTAGACCGTAATTTTATGATAAAATAATAAATGGTAAATGTTTGCATTGACAACTTTTGGTTGATTTTTCTTTGTACGCATATTTTATACTGAAACGCTACCCTATGCGAGATGTAAATAAAGATTATTCGATATTATTTAGCAGTATGTAGACGTATTTTTACGACTACGATTCTAGAAGGCACTGTTAAAAGAACACGAGTTATAGGCGCGACATCAATGCGCCACTTATTTTAACGTGAGTCATACCTATGTAGTTCGTGTCAAAATCAAATAGAAAAAGCACTTGACAGCACCGAACAAATTGCACTGAAGGTCTGCTTGTAATTGAATCCTCGCTAAATAACTTGTAGGTATTGCTTGTAAATAATAAACATGATGGGAAAACAACAAAAATGAGAACGACGGTACCACTTCTGAGCAACAATGCGCAAAGGCTTAATTTGAATTGTATTTAACTCTCATTACACTTTTGATAGTGATTCAACTAACACCGTTTTGTTTCCATGGTGTCTTTCTAAGGAAAATATTGAAGCTTGTCCAATGCCCGCGATTTCTCAACGCATCGTCATCTTCGATAGGATTTCGTGTCTCCGCCGATCTCTCTTCTATCATTGGCTCCGTCAGGGCCCTTCGAGTGCCCGTCCGACTGCCCGATTCATCTCTATACACTTTCGTATTCTACTAAAACTCGACTCTGTTCTGTTTTGCCCGCTGCTCAGTGATTTTGAAATTTTCCCGCCATGCCAGCCGACTTCCGATTGGTCCGATGGCATGGTCCTGTGTAGTGCGGGATTCTCGCGAGAAACTACGAGGATCGTAGGTCCTGCTGACGACACAGTGAAACAAAAACAAATTCGTATACAGGCAGTTGGAGTGAGAGGTAGATAATATCAGATCGGAACCGTGAGGTTTTGGTCGGTCGGTCGGTCGGCTGGCTGGTTGGTCGGTCTTGTCGAGAGTGCGTGTGTGTCTGACGTGTGGTCGTGCTGGTCAAGTGGACGTGTGGTGCGCTAGATTGGTGTGGTGGTGTTGCCTGGTGTGACTGTGACGGTGGGCGCCTGCGACCGCAAGGAACGAATCGTAGCGATTGTTGTGTGAGGAAAAAGAAGACGACGACGAGAAGAAGATCGAGCAGCACCTAAATCGTAAAGGAGATGTCGGACGTGTACATCCAAGTGTCGGAAGACGAAGCCGAGGAGCCGATTGAGCTGCCCGGCGAGCCGGATGGTAGCCTGCTACTTACCACCGTTACGGCCCAGTTCCCCAATGCGTGCGGGCTCAAGTACCGTAACCCCGACACGGGAGCGTTCCGCGGGGTGCGGTTGCTCGAGGGCCGCCTGCACGCCCCCGAAGGCGGATGGGGCTCTCGGGTTTTCTACTGTGTAGTTCCCAAAGGTGAGCGAGCGATCAACGAAAAAAAGGAAAGAGAGGGGGGCAGAGTGAGACACGAGCGCCAAGTCGACGAACGCGAAGCCAAAGTCAACTCAAAGCGAGCCACAGCTAGCTCGAAGGAGCACTTGCCCCTGAAGCAAGACTAACTACGGGCACCGCTGCAACTTCTCTCAACTTCTACCATTAGGATTAATACTAATATGATATTATAGAGTCAGGCGGGAATTCGACCGTCGTAAGCAAACGGCAAGAGGACATTGCTGCTAAGAGCGATTTCAACGCCTGCTAACACTGCAATAGTAGGATATGAATGACGGTGGCTTGATGGTTAAACCGCCACCGAAATCGATCACACAGCAACGGCTGCTGCTCCCTGTGTGGAGACACGGGGCACGATTTGACGGGCTCGTTATATAATATGTCGACTGTTCGCATCTTTTCCAGTATAGAATCCCCGTCCAGTGGTGGTCACCCTCGTCAGCCGTCTAGCCGCCCTTAAGTACGATTTCGATTGCTGTTACAATTGGCTGCGCCCATCACTTTCACCCTGTTGTTGTATAATGTGTTGCACTGCGACTTCTATCGATTCGATGACTCGACGGTAGTTCATCGAGCATAACGCCACACTGCAGAATCTGTGATGCCGGCGCTGCCAGTAGACCGTAATGAGCTACTGTAACAAAACAGCGGCAGCAACTGTAAAGTGACAGCGAATAGCGGCATGGCAGAACGTTATTGGGCTTTGACTATGCCGTTGTTCCCTTTACGACTCTAGGAGCGTTTGCTGCCGAACGTCGATCAGGTTGAATCTGTATTGTCTGGGGCTTCTGGTCGGTGGCGGTCCTGGCCCAGCAGGCCACTGGTGGCCAACAACGGGCCCTATGTTACCAGAGACCATATGCGGGCTCTCGGCTAGCTAACAAGCGGGCGGGCGGGCGGTTGATCATTTGACTGTTAAGTAAAACTGGTCATTGACGGCAAAGTCAAACGACCGAGCAAAGATGCTCCTGGGCAGTTGGCAACTGACAGCAAAAACGGAATGGTAGCAACGGCATTCTATCTATACGTTGACTAGTCAGTGTTTTTAGAATACTAGAACGATGATGAATAAAGCATTTCCTACAGCCGTTCAAAGCGCTCCACAACTTAACAGACCGCCGGAATGGTAAATGGCTTTTCTCCCAGAATTACCCGCTGCTGCCGCACACAGTGATGTCTGTCTGCCTGCCTACGTAGTCCTCCATAGTAGATACCTTGCCAGAGCTAACAACTGGGTGGCGGTGTGTGTTTGACGGCAGCCCATGAATAGGCAGACATTTTTGCTATCTAGGCCTAAATCAGTTGGTGCCTGAGTTCGAAATGATGTTGAGCAGCTGTGGCTTTATAGGACCTTGTTGTGAGCAGGTTTGACGACCATGTGGGATTGATCGATGGGTCGGACATAGCGCTTTGCGTTGCCGGTGTGACTACCGGCCCACATTCATAGCCCGGGGCTATGATAGGCCTAACCCCAGTGTTCCTTCCCCTTGTCGTCCCCTCGAAACCAATTGGATCATCGATACCGGAGGACACCTGTTTGAAAGGGTCTGCCTTTTGGGGCTCCCCTCCCCCTTTCTTCGGAAGTAACTCTACGTAGATTGGCTTTTCTACTAGTTTTCTACCCAAGATTGCGCTTGGGCTGCAACCGCTTGAGTCGCATAGGTTGCACCGACCTTGTCGACCGCCTAGCAAGTCAACATCGTAGTAGTAATCAGTAGCAGGAAAGCTTCAGCCGTCATTCCCGGTAGAACGATCAGCTGTTTTCGTCTTGCCTAGGTTCTGCGAGAACGCCGCTGTAGTGCCAGCGCTGGCCAGATGATAGGCAGAAAGGCACAGACATAAGCATATACGTAACCTTGCTCTATATGAAGAAAGAATATAGGACAGACAATAGCTGGAACTACTATGTACACAAATGTTCTATTTTATGCAGTTGTCAGTTTAACGACTGGCGGCAGGCCGGCAACAAGCAGTAGACATCCAGCCATCTATATAGGAAAATGTAGATGGGGCTGTCGTACGATGTAAGGCATCCCGGCTGGGAGCATTAGAATTCTGGCAATGGCTGGAGCGGCACGGCAGCGACAACGCTCAGGGGCAATTTGGGATGGGTTGACGTTGACAGACCGGGTTGTCACTGCAGTTGCTGGTACCGCCGGCAGCCTCAATGATAAATTTCAGCGTTGCCTGCATAGGCGAGTGTCACGTTGTATTCGTATTGTGTGTTTGTTGACCATGCACTTAGCTTTCTCGGCCCCTGTAGTAGTTGTAGTAGGGCATAGCCGAGCAAGCAGTCTTGTCTGTTTGCAGCGTTCTCACTGTCGTTGACCCGTTGGTCGCTATCGTCGTGGCTGCTGTTGTAGTTAAAGTTAGTGACGTTGTTACTCCTGCTGGTTCTGTTGTTATAATCACTGTTAACGTTGGCCGTACCGCCGTAGTGGTTTTCGTTCTCGTGTCGTTGTTTTTTGTCACTGCAGGCAGCTGCCGTTGCTTGTGCTTTTGACGCTGTTTATGCAGCGGTTTGCTGTCATCGCAATGGGTGGAACTAGCATGCAGCCATTTCTCCTTTATCTCTTGTTGCTGTCAGCCGATAAGTAGGAAGGCTGCGATGAGCCAACACATGTATGGTATATAAAACAGCGGCATCCAGCATCATAAGCTGTAGTTGTAATACTGCTCGTTCTGCGTAGAAGTCGAACCCACGGTAGTGGTAAACGTGCCGTGACGTTCGTCATGAGTAACGAAATTTGAAGCGAACCACAGCAATGCCGACAACAACAACAACAACAACAATCGTAATGATACATAGTGTAGGGCTGGACACAAACAAACGATATCAACTAAGTGGATGCCGTATTTCATTTTGAACATTCATATAGAGTACCATACAATGCATTTACCAGGAAATAGAACGCATCAAACTTGCGAACAACAATAACAACTATATTTTACTATAGGAGATATTGTTATGGTCGAATTTTCCGACTTGCTTGGCGTATCCGTTCAGCCAGCGATACCTGTAAGGAATAGAATAGGCTATTATCACAGGGCAGAACGTACTGTCGCTTGTTGATGCTAACAAACAACTAATGATTTCATTACTGTGTACTGCGCGATTAGTCATCATAGGAGGATGCGATATTAGCAGGAATGGTGGCACTATTATTACGCCATGCAATTGGTGAACATTGCAACTGTAGCTGCGTCTGCTGTTTGTAGTCGCGAGGCAGTGGCGATGTTGCGATGCCTCGTGCTGTTATTGCACGCATTCTACGGCACGCGCGTACGGATAGCCTTATCCACCATCGGAATGATTCGATGTTGTTGCTGTTGCCAATGGCCTAATGGTCTGTCGTTTGCCGGATGTTCGTAGGCGTGTGTTGTGCAGGCAGGTGTATGTAGTAAGCTTGGCTCATTGCGTCGATGTTTGTCCGGGCATATCCAGCTATTCACTAATAGGGCGTAGCGTCAGCTAGTCGCTACGAATTTTATATCGTAACACAAGTAAATAGCGCCGCAAAACTAGCGGCAATAACAACGGCGCCAATGAAAATGAACTGCTGTTTGCATTAATTTAGTACGCGTTCTTCTCCGCAAACCATGTCTAGTTTAATGTACCCTAGTATGCGCACCGTTAAAACTTGGTGTAGCTCGGGATTGTGTGGGGCCTGTGCGAAATGGGTTTTGGGTCCCTTTTTGAACAGAAGACTGATATCCCTCTATTCATTATTTATCGCTTTCTTCTGAGTAAAGCTTTGTAACGACAAGCTTTATAGCAGTATACGATTATAGATTTAAGGTAGTATGCGGTGGGTTGCAACAGTATGCCAAATGTGAATGTTATAGATGGGCGAAACGCGTACATGTTCCTCTGGCATTATTACATGAAAATGGCTGGACCGAGATAGCCCAGAGGAGCGATAACTGATTCGAAGTTCAACATTTCAACACTTGGTTCTCGACAGTGTGGAATACAACAGCTATACCCCGCAGTTGATCAACCGAAGTCTAATAATTATGATTGTATCGAAGACTGAACGGGTGTTAAGCGAAACGTATTTGTGCGTTTGCTGATTCCGGTTCAAGGTTTTCTTTATGCGCTACTATACCGGGCTTAAGAAGTGTTTACGAGAATTCATTTTGGATTTGCAAAGGTATTTTTCCACGTAAATGAATATTAAAAACAAATGCTTTTTGAGCAATAGGCCATACGGCATCGTTACTAGCTGCTGTAAGTGTGCCGAAACGTAGTTAGAATAGTTAAAAGCGTGTTGATAGAGCAGTCGGTTCAGACTTCAAAATTGAGCTGAAACTATTTTTTTGCAATCGGAACGAATTAGCGGGTGTAATTATTTTCTTTTGATCCTTATCAAACCGTTTCCAAAGCAAGCACAAAATAACTTCTTATGACTGTTTCCGCAGTCTATTCGATATTATGATATCGAACACGAAACTTATTGCAACGAGTTTCGAGTGTACCACGTGCTTCTTAAATCAATCATTCAGTGTTAGGGAATTACGAGTTCGCCCGAGCCCATCCAGTTATGCGTCCTATATAGCATTAAAATGGTCGAAATTCAGAATTTAGGAGACAATTATGTTGCTCAGAATTGGCGCATCGATTAGTTCAATTAGTTAGCTGTGCACGCGTTTAGCAGCAAAGGGAAAAATGTTAAAGCTATAAATATTTAATTGCTCTGATTGACAGATAGAGAAGAATCAAAACCGCCGCACTCAGGGTTGCACTTACAGATCTGGCGGGCACTCACGACTAGCTTACGATACCAACTAATCAATGGGAACATATTGAATTAGGGCTATTCTTCTTTTATTGTTTAAGGGCGTTAAAATCTCTGTCGCAACGATTAGCTTCTACTGAACGTATTGTAGTGATAGGGTATTAAGGGCAGATGATATTTGTTATCTTATGTGTATCCAACATATCAGTGCTAGTAATCTATTGTAATTCTAATCAGTCTGTAGAAATGTCTTTGCTTCCATGAACTGCTCAAAAAACCAGTTTTTTTTTTTTTTTTTTTTATACATAAAACGCAGCACACGATGCAACTATAGTTATTTAGCTGTTTTGCATCCGTTTTGGCTTTTTAAATTAAGAACCCAGGCAACTTTTTCAGGCGAAGGCTGATCTTCTATACATATAGTGCATGGTTGATCGAGACATAGTCAGGACATACAAACTATCCATAAGGTCTTCTTCTAGAACTGGTGAGCAGCGTCAACCAGTAAATACCAGCTCATAAACATGCCTCTAGCCCTGTGAAGGACACGGTTGAATTTTGATCCTGTTAGAGTAGCTATCTAGCTATCCTTTGACCAAATAATTCATTTTCTAGGGTAATATACTGCTAATTATTAGCTGTAGTAAATAATCGAATCATGCTACGATGAAAATGTTTTTTTTTCTAACGTAGCCAAAAAACGATGAGTCAGCTTGGTCTCGTGGCTTATAAAAAAGTAGTTTTAGTGATCGTAAGGAAGGCATGTACGTGCTTTACTTATATAGATACTGAACACCTCCGAATTAAGTAACTCCAAATATCGATTGCGTACTATCAGTATAATATGAAGTTTGTATTTCCCAGGCGTTAGAATAACTGTATGCCTCATGAATCCAATCCGCTCGAAAAACAATTCTACCCTACTAAATTAGTCGTTTGGCCCTTGATAATATAATTAACTGAACCGAAGCTTGCCATTTGTTTTCCTAACTTGAATAAGTGATTTGAATGCTACCACATAAACAAATATGTACTAATATTAGCATTACTTCTTAAGATATATTTTAAGATTTTGTATTATATGAACTTAGCCTTATAATTCGCCTGTTACTTTTCAACGCAGACATTATATAGTATTGTACCATGCTACTGCTCTTAATATAATAACGACGAGTATCATACTGCAATATCATTAACTGTATTGTTGGTAGCTCGCGGAGACGCCCTGACAGCCTTTTATGGCCCTCAGTTTCGTCTTACGAAAATTTTATCCTGTCCTAAAAAAGCACATTTATTATAAATTTACCGTGTACGTATATGTAAAGCTGCGTTTCAAATTGTATTAGCATAGAATTTATTATAGCAGTGTCTTAGGATTAGGCTAACGCTGCAGGGACAAAGAGCCGTTTGAGGTAATAATAATAACGATGGTTATTAAAATAAACATCAGTCCTCCTTAAAGTTAAGTGGTAACGTGTTTGCCTACTAAATTTAAGGGGATTTAGTGAGGTGGTCTGAGTTCCGAAACAGGTGAAAACGCGCTTCCTTTGTGCTGAAAGGGGCCATCTGACTTAATGATTAGCGATGACATGAATAGGATGTATGGCTTAAAATATTTCGGTACTAATCATTGCGTTCCTGTTTTTACTGTTACTTTAGAGACAAAACGTCGTTCCGATGAATCTCCTGGGGGTGGGGGTGGTGGTGGAGGATCTGGGGATACCCTGGTCAAACTGAAGGCACGAACGGACGCCAAGAAGTGCTCGGACCTCATCGTGCTCGGTCTACCTTGGAAGACTACCGAGCAGGAGTTGCGCCAATACTTCGAGGCGTTCGGGGAGGTCCTCATGGCACAGGTAAGAGACTCGGTTTTAGGATACTTCGGTTTTCAGATCTTAATGACGACTGCTGTTCCCGTACGTGTAATAGACGTTAACGGTTTTTTCTTCCATTCTGATATAAATATTACGTCTATTTTTCTTTAGGGATATTGCGGAACGTACCACGTTAATTAAGGAACCATAATCTACGATGATTTAGGATGCACCTTAAATAATTATTGCTGTGTATGGGAAAATGGAACATAAAGTTGCCAAAACAAAAGAATCACAAATACTTTCCTGGATTTTTTGGCATTTTTTTACTGAGGCTTATAATGATTTCTGCTTTTTTGCTTACAAATGATTGTCTATACATAGTATATTAACATTGCAAGCTGCGCACACAAAATGTGTACTTCCGACTTTCATACTAAATAAACTATATAATATTCCCATACCTGTTTGATTGTTGGTTTCGTCGTTCATGTCTCGTCATCTATTTCAGGTCAAAAAAGACCCAAAAACACAACAGTCAAAGGGGTTCGGTTTTATTCGGTTCTCCTCGTACGAAAGCCAGATTCGGGTGCTTTCCAAGCGTCACATGATTGACGGTCGATGGTGTGACGTTAAGATACCCAATTCAAGAGATGGACAAGCTTCAGAACTCAGTCGAAAGGTTAGTACTATCACCATAATCAGTTAAACCCTTAGAAACACATTCCACTTAGTTGGCAGAAACATAATAATTGTAGTGTGCTAATTAGTAAAGGAATAATTTTTATTTCTTAATTTTGTCGGTTTTTGTTAACCGCAATTATCGGCTGTAACGTTACCCGCTTTGTTGATATTTCATGGTAGCGCTAGGTTTTTTCTGTTAGAAACGTGTGTTTAAGTTATATCAAAAATTTTTAATGAAAACATAATTTTTTTTTCAATAAAGCTTTTACTTAAAAGAAGTTGTCTACCATACGCTTCTTTATCGACTTGAAAATAACGCCTAAATATGTTTTTAAAGTTAAATACAATAGTTTACCTATAACTAAAATTATGTTAGTAATTAATTAAGCATCACAATAACGTTTTGTACAATATATAGGTTAAACCGTCAAAAAATCCGAAGTTGTCTGCGTGCAATACAGGTGTCCTTTAGGAAATGTCCACATGATCATTTTAATAGCAAGTCTTTCGCCCCCTTAAGGCTTATTGTTATTACTAGAGTTAAATTTATGCAACATGGTGGTGCAAAATCTAAACCCTAGGGGCTTTCCTATATCCGTCTGATTCAGCGAAAGAGTATATTTTCACGTATAAAGTAATTCAACTTATCGCCGCTTGAATAAATCAGTAGTTCATAGGTTTAAATTAGCCTCTGTTGATTCGATTCAGTTAGACTTAAAATATAGGTGTATAAATAGTATACTTTATTGTTGTAATAATATTGTCGGTGAAGGGCTGCAATGAAAAGTCTACTGTATGTGTGAAACGGTACAAAAATTATTGGGTCAAGCATATTACAGACCTGTATACGACGATGCCAAACATGCCTTCTATCTGGCCGGGTATTATGGCAACGACAGGTTTATAGAAAGTGTATAAAGAAGGAATCGATGTATTGAATTATCATAGAAAAAGATCGTCGAAAAGAAATAAAGATGGATTTTTAATGGGTTTCTGAATTTCAGGTTTTTGTGGGCCGCTGCACCGAGGATTTAACGGCCGACGACCTTCGTGACTATTTCAGCAAGTTTGGTGAAGTCACAGACGTCTTCATACCAAAGCCATTTAGGTATAGTTTACGTTTGTGGCTTTTAGCATCGTATATTCTCTGTTATTCACATTTTTTTATTCTAATAATACAAAGTGGCACACATATCGCAGTCAAAATCAATACGTAGAAAAAAAACTGGTCAGTTCAATTAAATAAAACCTATTTGATTAGTAGAAGGAAAAAGCGACGCGAGGCGTTCATAGTTTTTTTATTGATATATATATATATACATATATATATCTTTGCGCGATCGGTAGGCCATAACAAACGCCGCGTTGTACGATGTACCCTATTTGAGATTATTAAATGAAAATATAAGTCTGTTAAAAGCACTCAAATAATTATATAAATACATTATATGATTTTTTTTGTCATTTTTGTAAAATTTCGCAGCTTGATATAGGTGTATTTGTCCTGCTATCCAAAATCAAATTAGTTTAACTTCGGTAATCTTACATTTGGATTGTTTCCTTACACAGTAGGTATAGCTGGATTGCTGCTTACCGCGTATATGCGCAATTAGTGTAAACTGACCAATATATCTCTCTACAGGGCCTTCGCCTTTGTAACGTTCGTCGACGCCGAGGTTGCGCAGAGTCTCTGTGGAGAAGATCACATTATTAAAGTTAGTAATGTTTAGTGGAATTTCTTTAATTGTTTTCTGTCATACTTTTTACACTTGGATTTATATAATCTTGCATTGTCTTTGCTTTATCAGTTAAAATATAGTATGTATTGCATCGGTATTGCTGTTACTTTGAATTCCAACCATTTCGAGTTCACTATTTTGTCCTAACATAAGCTCTCTTAAACTCATTATTGGAGTTAATCATGTAAATCTAGTGTGACTCAGAAAAAAGTCCTAGTTTAGTTGATGATTGGACCTATTATATATAATAGGTGCTATTTTACTTTTGCATTTCTTTTATTCGCGATTATGATCTTTGTCTATATCTAGGGTACATCAATACACGTTTCAAACGCGGTGCCGAAAAATGATCAGGGCGCAGGATCCGGAGTCGGCGGTTCCGGAGGCGGAGTGGGTGGTCTTGGTGTGGGCGTCGGAGTCGGTCCGGGGGTTGTCGGCGGCGTTGGGGTGGGAACAGTAATGCACCATCATCATTTAGCTTCTTCATCGCGCACGAGCCACCCAATGATGGCTCAACCTGATCCTCGTTCACCACTTAGTCGAGTTCGTGTTGATCTTATCCTTACCTATATCGGTTCGATTAAGTTGCTAAACATTAGCTTAATAAATCTACGTGCGGAGTTCCCAAAGATAGCACGTACTAAGGTCAATAACATTTATACGAGTTGTCGATTTGTCCAGAAGTGTACTCGATACGATAACATACTGGTTTGTTTCAAGAGAAGCTACTTTTTGAGGGAATATTATTAGGACGCTGTTTCGTTATAGAACTACTCTAGCCAGTTCGTCACCCCTGGCAGTTCGTAATCTGTTATTATCAATATACCCCCTCGTTGTGCCCTGGTGGTGTAGTACGCTAGATATTCACAACTTCTTTCATGAACTCGTTTTGTTCAGTTTGGTAAAATCCAATTTATTTACATGAGATACATACCTCAGCTATGAGGTATTGTCTTTCTTCTCTCCGACGATTTTGCTAGAATCAATATCTACCATTATATTTTGAACAAAAAACAAACCCTGTTTGAATAATAAATTGAAAAATCGTCGTAGTGTTTCTACGTGACGAAATATGTTTTTCTCGTTCGATTTCTGGGTCTCTTCTTTATTCCATTTCGAACGGGCGAAACCTATTCGTGCAATTAGCTTGTGGGATCCATCTGCAAAAGTCGCGTAGCTATCTTTATTTACTCGGTCCTTAATCAATTATTTATTTATACAGGTACCAGGTACTTGTTTTCAAAATGCATTAGGTGCGCACGATTCCCTTCCTGCCTAACTTTCCCTCGATGAACGTTTCTTACATGTGAATGAAGTAAAGTTTTGCATAACATATGCATTAACCCCACTCGCATACGCGCATAAACCTGAACCGAACAGGTTTTCTGACATTGGCTTTGTAACGGCGACCTCGAAAGTATCGGGTAGCTTAAACAGCTATGCTCAATATTCTCAGTTTCCGAAATTCCCTGAGTGTCATCGGCTTTCCAATTCTATTTTAGGTTCCATATCTAACATGTTTTGTTTCTGCTGTGGGTTTCAACTCTTCTTGTTCGTTTCATTATTACTTTTTTCTCTATCTTTTGTCGTTTCTATCTATTATATTACAGGGCGGCGGCGGACATTATGGTGCAGGAGGTATGAGCTCATACTCGTCACATCATCCACATTTGGCGGGTCACCATCCGCTGCCACCAGGGCCTGCGGGGGGGCATGTCGCTGCCGGGCACGTGGGAACAGTCCATTCGTGGACGTCCGCAGCAGCGGGTGCCAGCTCCGCCGGTGGCCGCGAGATGGGAGGACCCAGCACGTCAGCCGGGGGTGGGGTCGTAGGCGGGCTCAGCCATCCAGGGGCGACGACTACACCGCCGACGCTCGGCATGAACGCGCTCAGCTTGGGGGGACCTCCTTCGGCGGCCAGCGCACAGGCAGGCCAACCCTCTAGCTCCCTCCAGCCTATCAACTCGGCCGTGCTTCAGGCGTTGGGGCAGGCCGGGTAAGTTTGCACACACAACGACGATGAAGTGCTGTTTCTTCTTCTGATTGATTGTTCTTCTCGTTCGTTTGTTCGTTCCTTCAATATTGATTAGTGTGATACAATTGTTGAATTCGAATATTTTGGGAACGTCTATTGTTTAATCATTTCTTCATTAGTCGTTAATTCGATCAATAGATTCGACATTCAATCGTTAAGAGTAGTCAGTTTGCTGATCAGCGGCGAGAAAGGTAAAATGACTAACTATGCAATGCAGCAAAAAGCAGAAGAAATACACTGTGAGAAAAAGAGCTAGAAAACGAGAGAGAGACAGAGTGTGCGAGGGAGAGAGAGAGAGAGAGGGAGAGAGAGAGGATGAGCGAGGGAGAGAGATATAGAGAGAGGAAGAGCTATCCGAGTGCGTGAAAGTGTGTGGTGTTCGCGCCTGACTGTGTGTAAACGTCATCTTGGTCATAGCTTTGATGGCGCGCCGACATCGCCACCAGGCCTACTACTAGAGCCTTTTCTAGCGTTTCCCATAACCGGTTATGTTTCGTATGTACGATCACTAAAAATTCAATTAGTCCTCTTTCATTCTATTATTTCCGTCTTTTATCATCACTGCTGGTATTACTATTACAATTGCTGCTGCTGTGCTGCATTAATATTAGTGGCACAATTCTACTCCATACGCAAACTGCGTTTTAGCTTATCGACGACCTATCGATCAGTTACCGATAAATAGGAGAAACACATCTGTTAATCGATTTGGTAAGTGTAATGAAAAAGTAGATGCAGTGACAGCAGCCAAACAAAGAAATTCGTAAGCTAGAAAAAGCATTAAACGGCGAGAAAGCGAAAGAAAGGAAAAGAGAGAGCTTGAATGGTACTGAGTGAATACGGGGCCAAATGCAGACATCGTCTTTTGAGTAATGTGTGACATAGCCGGTTGGAATGAGAACGATTGCGAAAGGCGGGACAACTAATTATATTATATTATAATTATATTATTAATTATTTTCTAGAACTTGCTGTGCGGTCGGTTAACAATTTATCAGTCGTTTAGCGACCGAGATGAAACAACGTAAATTTTCCGCGTTTAAGTCTCTAGCCAACTAAGTCTAACAGGAATCAAGCACTGCAGTATGAAATTAGGCATAATCAACTGTTTTTCAGGATAACAGTAGTTTGAAAGTCTTTTTCTTTAGTGGACTTTTTTTTCTCAGAGTAGTCACAACAGCTTGCTAGTACAATTTTTAGCTTATAGAAGCTTTCCCAATATACAGTGGTTTCCAAGTAGATAACGTCATAACTTTTAATTGCGTAGATACCGTCAGCGACAGTCAGCGAATGTTCTAAGATCTTGCTTGTAAAGCTGTGTAGTTGATAAATATTGCAACTAGTACGAACTACAAGCGTGGTTCTACGTTTCGGCATCTTATAATTAAAGTTCCTTCGAAATTTTGCATAGTAATGTTTTCTCACCACCGTGGCAGCTCTGAAAGATACAAACTGATAGAACGCACACTTCTCGCAGTCATGTCCCAACCGGTAGATATTAAAGGCACTCACTTATTTCACTGATCCTTTTTACTTCTTATTTGCTAATCACTAATAGTAGTAGGGTTCCTGAATAGAATAATTAGTGTCTCAAGACAAGAGTAGAAGAAAAGTGAAATTGAATTGTGTGACGAATGTAGAGTTGTTGGATTGCTGGAGAGTGAAGAGTGGAGCTGGATGGTGGTGTGTGCTTGGAGAAGAGAGTCTGGAGGCCCCGAGCGGAGCGAATCTCGTGTTGAGTGTCGGGCGGAGTGGCTGTCGTCTGAAACTGAAAACGGATGGTTGGTATGGCGTATCGTTCATGCACACAGACATACATTCACTCGCGCCCTTTCATACAAAACTGTGCCGATATACAGGGCACGTAATCATTGACGAGAGCGCTGTAGCAAACAGTTCGCGACCTCGCAATGCGACTCGGTACACCCAATCGATTTTCACATAGACGGCGACATAGTTCGAAACTTACATGTGATTGGGATAACGGCTACAGTCCACCATACCTGCCACTATACACACAACAAAGTGTTCCGTTATTGAGGATATGTGAATCGAGGTAGACATCGGCGCGTATTAATTCTTTGTCCTAGAGAAGTGACAGCAGATAGCGTTGCTAGTGTAAGATTTTTACTTCTGTAACTTGTTACTTAAATACAATAGAACTTTTAACTGAAACATACAAAATAGACCGTATTAATACAAAACGTTTATGAATTATTTCAAGTACACATTTTATTGAAATTGTTTGCTCTTGTGTTTAGGCACGAATATCTATCGCTTATCACTATGTTCAAGGAAGGATCTAAGGTTCGCGGAAAAGCCTTTCTGTTTGATAAAATCAATCATTGCACAGTCTAAAGCCAATACAAACAGCCAAACAGTATATTACAACTATTTTTTAGTTAAGTTCACACATCGATACCAACAAGACGGCAAATAAAAGCAACCTCACGCTCATATATAAATACACACTAAAAGTTTTTACCCTCGCTCCTGGCCTACAACTCTAGCATTATGTATTCTAGTATATCAAGTCCATTATATCATAACATTGAAAGCTTGATAGAAAATTACATAGAAAAAACATATGATGAGATTGCACACTTGTGTAAATGTACTGCTGTGTTAGTGAGTGTTTGATTTTTGTTCAGCTGAGTGCTACTGTTGTCTTACTAAAGCTAGCGTATTAATGGTCAAGGTGAGAAAGAGATTTGGATGTTTTGCCGATTGAAGGCAAATAATCTTCCTCCATATTAGATAAAAAAAAGAATTCTCCTAATTGAGTCGATTGTTGTTGCTGCCATTATCAGTTTACGATGCTATTTGTAGAATTGTGGAGCTCATTAATCTGTTCCAATATCACCGTAGCGTTCTCATAGATGTGTCGACCCGATTTTTGTCAGAATGCTAAATAACAAACTCAGTATGATTTCTTTTACTAACCTTCTAGATTAATTTTCTCTTGAGTTAAAAACTAGAGCTTAAACAAAAGCAGCATTCAGTCGGTTTTTATTTATTTTTTGACAGACACAACGCATGCAACACGGTAATCTGATGGGCGGCGTGATCCAATTAGCATTTTACTCTAATTTAAATTGAGGTGCCTCGGTAGGTCTCTGTTGTAACCATTTAATCATGCCTGACCCCGTAGTTTTTTTTAAACCTTTTATTTTTTTTATCTAAATCTAGTTGAATTAATGAATCTCCCTAACCCACTATGTTGAGGCAGTTAAATCAGTTTACGGTCATATAAGGCCAGTAACTGACTTTCAACGAACTAGGCGAAGTTATAATTTGACTATTACACGATATACAATACGTACAATCGATCCATTATGCTCAGACCAAAAATGCATATATTTTAAATAATATTGCTTAAATAGTAGGAAGTGCATATTGTTTTTCATCATACCAATACGATACTACATATGCCGTGTATTATAAAGATAGATACCTTGACTGTTAATTAATACGTGGTGCTCGTTTCTTTTTCTTTCTCCCCTCATCCGCTGCTCGTCGTTACGGTGTTCGCCCTTTGTTCCTCTTCGGTGTTTGTCTTGTGTTCTATACGTTTGCTGCATATCTGTCAACTTCAGGTATGGGCTATTTAGTGGAAACTTCGCAGCTGGAGGTGGGGCCTCTAATGGGGGCTCCGGGGGGGGCCATTCCGCCGGTGAAGCGCATTCGTCGCATGTAAATCCCAATCCGCCATATGTGTGGGGTCCCGGAGCGCCTCACGAGTCACCCGGCTGGCATAAGGCACATGGCGGTCACGGTGCGCCACAGCCCGGCCAAACAGGCGCCAGTCAGCCTGCTCAGCAACCTCAAAATGCAGGTGGTGGCCAGCAAGCACCTCAACAGGGACCCCAGCAAGGACAACAACAACAGCAGGCAGGATCACAGCAGGGCTACACGATGTCGGTGTCGCCGTAGGTCAATCAACCCAGAGAAATCTACACCGTCACTACCAACGACTACTACAGAAACAACAACAACAACAACAGCCTAAACTAGTACTTTTTAACTACTTCAGTAGCGGCCAACGGCAATGAGGGCAACACGAAGAGACGCGTCGCTAACAAATCAAGTAAGAAATTACAGTATAGACAGCAAAAATCATAGAAGTCAGAGCAGAACTAACACCACCACAACACCAACGACGTAAAGAAGCAAAGCTCACCCAAGCCAGAGAAGCAGTCAACGCAAAAAGTCTCCGCATCTAATAAATCGAGCATGACAAAAGAGGAACCTGAGGACGACAATGCAAAGATCTACAACAATAACAGCATTGGCAAGACTAACATAACCAGTACAGTTAGATGCTTCGTATTGCTTAAGCAAAACCGAGATCGTCAACGACCGTCTGAAAATCGTTCAGAACGAAGGTGTGACGACGATGTGGCATGGAAAGAATAAGGACAACACGCGAAGGCCTCATCGTACGTTTGCATTGGATCAGACGTGACAGAGATGGGAAATTTTGAGCTCGGTGTGAGGAGCGCACCAAACGTCGCTATCACACAATCGTGCATCACGTTAGCTAATCTCTGTTGCTATTGCTAATACTGTTATACTCATTTGATTTGTATCAAACCTTATAAACCCAGTAGTGGTACTGCACGAAAATATACTTGGCTGGATAAACCCCACACATCCACAGCATAGAAGTCCGAAAGTGCTTCATAGGGGTCCGGTTAAGGCAAACATACGCGCAAAATCTCTACAGGATATAGGCACATGGCGATAGGAGGTATTATATATATACAGACAATAGAAACAGAAACAACATAAAATAATCAAAGAAAGTACGAGAATAGCTGAACTACTTGCGTACGCTCGAAACCTATTGGCCAACAACATTTGAACCTAATGACACCTGTTAGAATATCAAAGATGCATATGTTTAGGCGAACGACAATTGATGGGGCTCACATTGTTTACACCTTGCTAGCAAAAAAGTACGCACTCACCAATAACAATGATAACTATGTTTATTGAAATTATAGACTTCTTATATATTGGTATTCGAGAAAGATGCGCGAGTACCCGTCGCACTATTGATCGGCGATGGTCAGGTCTTAATCATGCACACTCACTGAAATATATATATAAACAGGAGAAACAATGCTCCACACAATTGATCACACGTGTAGAGAAAGAGCGCGCTCGTTGCTGCAGATTTTGAAATAGGATATACGAGGCATATATCAGATAAGATATAGGACACATAGGGTATGAAGGACCTTTGTGTTGCTGTTATTGCTATTTATTTAATATGAAGTTTAAGCAGAGAAAACTGTTCGGGCGAACTACTACACCAGAAGCGTAAACGGGTGCTTTTCAACCGGTGAACTTCAGCTACCTTAGCGTATTGCTAGTAACATTATTTGCGTAGGCACTGTACTGGTGATCTTGCAGTTCTCTGGTGATTCGCTCTGCGCACTCTACTTGTTCTGTAGAGGATAAGCATAGTCGCAGCGAAACAGCAGGACCTCATCCTTAAAAAGCTCTAGGCGATGATTGTTGAGCTATACAAAAACCGGTGGCATCGCCTAGCCTTGGATAGCTTCCTAGAGTTGAGTCGACAAAATCGTGCTTCGTTCTTTAGTTGACATCGTTCGACGTGTATGAATTGGAGGGCAGCGAAGAAACAGTACGTAGCTTATCAGCTAAACGATAATAGGTTAATTCTATCTAGAAATTAATTTTGATGTTGTTGTACGGTAAACAAGAATCGTTAGTGCTGAGCAAGGAAATCGGAGAGAGCGAGCAGGGAACAGACGTTGTGAGCATTTCTACGCTCGATTACCTTGATCGAGTGAGTCGGACAGATCGTCCAACGGTGAGCAGCAACCAAGGCGGGCTTGCGATTGTTCCGCGAGGCCAAATCACCACCACAACCACCGTCACGAACAACAAAAATGGCTGCAGGCACTTTTGCAAACGATGTTGCGAGAAAGAGACACCAGCCACAGTAAGAGATGAAGTAGACGTATGACGCAGTTAGTAATAAGACAAACGCGAAATTGCATAAAACCAATGCCAATGTGATCGGTCGGATCGCGCTTCGAGTGACCGCCACAATGGCCCTTGGATATTTCGTGAAACGTTTGCCCGTTTAGCTGTCGTACTAACGAAAAGAAATCACCCGTGTCAACTGCTCTCTGTGTGTGGTAGACATCAAAAGAACGAAATAGAAATATTATTTTGATTACTGCAACTCTTAGATTACGCGACAACTATTAATTGTCAATGGAGACTTTTATCTAGATTTACCTTTACTGCTATTAAGTACCTATCACTACTGGAAACGAACGTCACAAACAAACGCTCTCAAGATTATTGTGTTCTATATAATGTTAATGATAATGCAATGATTGAACGATGTGTTAATGTCATTTCATCATCATCACCATTCATTAATTGATTGATAGATGATGTGCACATAATTATTTTACTAATTCATTTGCGTTAGCTAAGTATAATACTTTGATAGTTTATGATCGATGATTGACAGAGAAATCATTTCTATAGAATATTTACGCGTGTTAAACATTTGATAGGATTCTCGCCCGCGATTGGCACTGAGTGATCTAGCCGAATTATAGTATCGGTGGCGCGAACCTAAACAACAAATATCGAGTGTATTTTCTTGTGTGTAATCATCAATACCAGTTATTTAATTGTGCTTTCTTGTTCTCGACACATCGTTTGTTAGGGCCTGCGTACGTACGCTCCTAAGGGATTAGATCGTCGTAGAGGTCGGGCAGGGGGTGTTGCCGGGCGATAGATAACTAATCCGAAAAAGAGAGCTTCGCCATACATACATATTTGATTAAGCGCAGGAGCAGTGATTATTTTCTTTAAGATATCTTTCGCGTACGGCCGTGATTCCCTGCTCTGGGGGTCCCAAACAACATGGACATAACGCAACATAACGATGCGATGGGTGGCAGAAAGCTCGAGGATTTGTTCGTCTCCCGCGATGCTTTCCGACGCCACCAGGAGAGAAACAGGATCGTGGAGCCGAAGAGCTGACAAGAGCTAAAACGACGTGTTTTGAGAGAATTAGCTCGAGTGTACTCGAACACATTGGACTCATTTGATTTGTATGGCCTGCGGAAGCGAGCGGGCATTCTGCTGGTCCAGCGAAGTTCTAATGAGCTGGGACAGAATCTGAAATTGCACGAAAAACTCAATCGACGATCGTGAATATCACACCAACGCATGAAACGTGTACGATGTGGCGTGCAACCGACGCATTAGGTGCATTCGTTGTTGATGTGTGTGTGTGCATGTGTATGTGTGTGTGTGCAAGGATGATGGAGTGGCGGAAAGCTTTTGTTGAGACCCGATCGAGACCCAAGCAGCAAAGGACAACGGAGTTGGCAACAAGCAAGGCAAGCATCGATGCGGCAAAGCAATGTTAAGTAGTCCTACTACAGCTGACAAAGAACTATATTATAGCTGCTACTATTATTAATACTGCTAGTAGTATCATCGGATCTCTGATTTGTCGTAGGCGACAAAGGAGACACAAGTAATATAAATGTGTTGCTACTGCTGAGTGAATGTGTACATAATATGTACATGCTGATGATTCAATGGCTTTGCTGATGCTGATCATGATAATAATGATGATGAAGAAGATGTTAAGGATGCTGTGTAATCAGGTGGTATTATTGAATAGGTGATTGTAGCTGACGGAACGAAGTGTGAGTTTATATCAGCAGTTGAGCGTGCGCGTAAGCCGTATGCGAGGAAGAAAGAAGAAGGTTTAGTGGAAGTGGGTGTTGATGGCATAGCGTGAGGTGCTGGTGTCAAAAGGTGACAAGCCTGGAAAAATGCAGGGGGACATTGGAAACTCGAAGACAGAACGTGTGTCTGTGTGTGGGTGTGTGAGCGTGTCTGTGTGTGTGTCTTATGGGGCAACTAACTCGATGTCGGGTAAGACCTAACGATTAACCAAACTCATAGCAACAAAAAATTAGCCGGGATTAGTCGACGCTGTGAAAACACGCGAAACGTAAACTATAACTGCATAACCGAATATTAGTAGGTATGTACCACAAACCACAAAAAAATAACATCCGTCGCGGTTGATTAGAAGAAGCGAATCAGAAATAGGGTGGCGTACAGGAATTTGAAAAAAAAACGTAGATCTTCGGTTACTACACAAGACGGATCTACCAGCAGACACTCATACGAAGTCGACTATAATACTTCATTAACACGAAATGACGACGTGGCAGTTGGGGTGAACGACCAACTCGAATCATAAAGCTTAGACAGATGAATTCGTTTGCTATTGTTACTACTTCATATTGCTGATTGAACGTAGCCAACCGAAAACGATTTAATGAAATCTGGCCTCTTTCATTTGCCCAACGACTACTGCAGAGGCTGGGTTCGCTGTAGCCGAATCGAGTCGACTAAGTAGCGGATGGCAGTCGGTAGAACTACACAATACACGCTAGCTAGGAAAAAAGGCGACACACGAGTTGGCATATGCACACAAACATATATACTTATATATATATCGGGTAGAAAAGTTAAGTATTAACTTTATTATTACTAGCATCATGAGGAGCCCGACAATACGGTGAAATGGTCTAATTTCTTAACTACTACTCTGTCAGGGTCGATTTGCCGAGATTCCAGTTGCCTCGCAACCACCGATTTGCAGCGACGGGGTGTGAGTAGAGGGCCGCTTTGCATCCGTTGTAGTGGCGATCTCAAAAAGCTACGAGTACCGTCGCAGAAAAGAGTACGGTACTGACGCAACAAAAAGGTAGATACAGCAAAAGAACAAAGGAACATACTTGGCTACGCATATATAGAATTGAAATGGACCAAATAGACGGGGGCGGATAGTAGGGAAAAAGGCCTCAACAGCCAGTCAGACATCAAACATATAGTGGAGGCACTTTATTGTGAATGGATGTGAGACTGAACGATGGTTATCAACTTGGACGGGATTGTTGAGATCGAGTGAGAGTTGATCGAAGACAAAAGGTCAGGCGTCATGCTGCTTCGGATCGTCTCGAGCAAATGACTAGTGCGATCAACAGACTATCGAGGAAAAAGGCTTAGTAAACACTGCATGTGTCCAATAAAGCTTTCGTTATTAAGCGAGCCGTGGCCATGTACAAGCGGCCTTTGTTTTGACAGAAGGGAGCAGAAAATGTGACTGAAATTCACAATATCAGAGGCATTAAATTAGTCAGAGATTGAGATTAATTGATGATGGTTAAAGGACCGGACCGGGTTACTCATTTGATCTCGATAGGTTTCTACTAATGGCACTCAAAAGCCAAGGCATGCCTGGTGTTAACATTTGATAACAAACCCATTATCGTCGCTACTAAACCAATTGGCTGGCAGAACTATCAAGGGCTTGTGCCTTCATCATGTTTTTTCGTATAGAGATCATGTATGGCAAAAACAAGAGGATAGAAAAGACGAACGATAAGTTGCACTATACTGTTTGTTGGAAGGTGTATACAGGCGGCGAATGTCGAAGCATTCTTGTGCTGAGCAGCGTGTTGAAATGATGAATGATACATGTGATCAAGTGAGTAATTGTGGACGCTTTCGAGTTCTGATGGAATAGATCGAGTTCGATTCATGTTCATTTGGCTAATTCTTTGGCTCGTATTTTTGCCCTCTAAGTACTGCTTTGCTTGAAACGCCGCGGCCGCTATAAAACAAGAGGCTCCTCTGACAACAACAGCAGCTTTTCCCAAGCTGCACAATGAGATTCTAGTTCACTGAGGATTGGCTACGAAATCTGGGCATGCGTGTGCGCACGGATGCGTTCCCTTCGCCGGGGCCGACTTAAAAAGTTCGACACAGAAGGCTGTTTCAGCCACGACTGCCTGAAGGCGGTACGCGATGCGTCTAATCCAGCCAGGACACAACGCTGAATAATGCGTTGAAGGTCAAAAGTAATTTTTGTTGATGATATACATTGCTGAGAATAAAACGAATAATGACAAAATAACGAGGCGGATTCGTGACAGCCCACATTGTTATTACGACGAAGCCAACTGCGTTTTCGCACCGCAACGGAAACGTAAACTGACACGAGTACCGAAGGGGATCAGAGCTTTGAAATCATAGCGCGACAAGAAACGACGAAGCAATGAAGCAGCTTGTCAAATAACATGCGGAGGCGGAAATATAAGTGAGCTAACAGTAGCCGCAATGTTCTACGACTGACTGCAGGAGACGTCTCGAACGTAGGGATAACCTATTCTTGAGATGGTGATAGCAGAGGAAAGGAAAACACTAATAAACAATGTTAATAACGATTTAAAGGACGCAAATGCCGACCAGAATGGACTAAACATGACCACTGATTAATAAATGAGAATGAGCTCTAGCTCGGAGACGTGGGCACATGTGTACTACACGTGATACCGTATGAATGTGTGTGTCGTTAATGGGTGCGTATGTGTTTGTGTATGAATGAATGTGATTGTTTTTGTTGTCTGCGTCCTATTGGCTGGCCGCGGACAAACTAATGACTCGGGCAAACAAACAACTGTTTGCCGAAATCGCGTCAAAGGAAGCTGCTGACAGGAGGGAATAATGGTGGAACTATTGGCGAGTTTTGATTTTGAAATTCTTCTACTGTATAGTAATGACAGTGTGCAGACCATTCGTTTGCACGTCAAGATTCACAGGATCATAGCCTGTCTCTAGCGCGTATAGCAACAATAAAGGGCTTTGCCAACGGTGCAATTTTATAGAAATACCGAATGGCTTTAAAAACTTAAAGACCTTGACACGGCACCGAAGAAGCATCGTATCTTTAGCTACGAATCATAATAATAATAGTGAAAGGTTTAAGCAAATTTGTTGTGTTGCTGATACGTTGTTGGCGGCGCCTGAGAGGGAATCAACACCTGAAAATTATGCGCTTTGCTACGCTATGTAAACAGATTATATGAGTAAAATACGAAACACGTTTTTGCGCATATACAGAAGGAGCAAACAAAATTACGTGAGTCTGCTGAATGCTACAAGTCAAAGTTAATTAGGGAACAAATAAAACACTATTCGAGATGATCGACCGTTTCCCCGGTTAGAAAAACTGATAGCAAAAGTAACAATTTCACGCCGTATTGCCCGCTACTACCACTACAGCTACCTCTGCTCCACTGCTGCGGTGAAGGATGAGAGTACGCGCGTAAATGTTCCGCGTGTGAATGTGTATGTTTGCGGGGCTGAATTTAACTATGTCCGTACGTTTGGCTGTGACTGTGTAAGTGGGCGTTGGGATGTCAACGACACCTTTGTTGATGATGACGACGACGACGACGACGACGACGGTTATTCACGATGAAGCGGATAAGGAAAGAAAAACAACCGCTGGAAATTCTGAAAAACGCAGTGGGACGCTAGAGGACTAAGATTTAAAATAATAACAATTTTAAAAATAATAATGAGGTTTATGAAAAGACGCTAACGAAACGCCCGTAGCTGACGACGTAGAGAACGTCAGAGTAAACGAGAAGAGAAGAGTCTATAATCATTATACGATCATATGACGGTGATGATATTAAAAAGAAAATGATAATAACAGTGATGACGACGCGCGTTTTTTTGAAGTGAGCGAGTGATAGAAAAAACTAAACACAAGTAGGTGGAGACGTCAGGCAGATCGAAAGCGAGACAATGTGTGCGGAGAGTGCAGTAATTCGTAGATGAAAAGGAGATGATAGCGGGGATGATGCGTAAATACGATTTAAATACACGATCGAATTAGTTGGTTCGATCCCGGTGAAGGTGTTAGGTGTAATTTATTTGATAATACGATGATAATAATAAAGAAGAATATTATGATGATAACGACGATGGCGAAGTTAAGCGTGAAGCTGACGATGATAATAGTAATAATAATAATGATAAAAACAATAATGACGATTATATATATATATATATGGTGGATACAACTAATAGTAATAATTAAAAACAAATACTTTATTATTATTTTAACGATAATGATAATGGGGTAGTTGTTCATTAATGACTCTCTATATATATATATATATAAAATGTATGATGGTGGAAAGAAAAGGATACAGGAAAAGGATGATACAGCCAGTGTAGAATGGAAGTGAGTAAAACAGAACAACGTTAACATTAACAAATGGAAGTACCGGGGAGCAACGGGCGTCAATAGTAATACAATACAGACGAAAAGAGTCGGCCTCTAGCAGAAGAGGGGATACATTCGCCTCAGGCACTTGTGCAAACTCGTCGATCAGGGCAGTTAATAACAATTAAGAGGCAATGTCGAGGATCAGATAGGATGCGGAAAAATCTGAATTTAAATGATGACATGTGGCTGTCTATGAATAACCGACCTTAACGAATTGTCTGATAGAAAACTGCTGGTTACTAGATTGATCATTTTTAGATGACTGAAAGAAGAGACTAGGGCAGAGATGGCAAAGGGCAATGGACAAGGCAGGGGCGCGGTTTTGTTGATTGTTGGCGTTGTTGAACACGTGCTGCGCACATAGATAATATTTCAAATACAGCAACGACGATTGCGGATCCTTATTACATCGTGTGTTTGTGTGTGAAATGAATAGGGAATAGATTCGTTATGTTCTATTTGGCAAAAAGCATGAAAATCAAGCACGGAACTAGCCCGGAATCCCAAACTTCGACGATTGATACCGCCAATTGAAGCACCTCTATAAAATCATAATCCGAATGATTCTATGACTCGATAGTGTCATTTTTATTTCTCTATTAAGAGTAGCAACAATAACACGCAGATATTAAATATACATTTAATTCTCATAAATTGACTTCCAAACGCCTTTTTTAGTGCAGTCTTTTGCTTCTTTTAAACAGAAAACATTGTCTATTATGCGAGATTTCCAACAATCATAACCAGACAAAGTGATATCTAAGTTTTATCCACATAAGTTGTTATTGCACTTACGTTATGAAATAATGAATCCAATCAAGGCTCTGTTGTGTCGAAAATCTTCCTTGGCCACTTCATTTCCACCATTTTTCAATCAAGTTTCAAATTCAAAAATTGACTTTTTAATATTTTTTAATTGCTACAGCCTAAAATCCAGTAAATGTTTTAAACCGTAAAATGAAAAGGAAGCGTCTTGTAGGTTGTGCATTACTTAATATATATTATTTTTATTCGCGTATATTTTAGAATGGCGCGCCGTGCTTGGGTACGTTCAAAGCGTGAGCCCCTATGATTATTCGATTGGCGGTTTTAATCCCAGCTAGAGGCACGATTGATGCACATGTGTTATAAGATGTTTTTCATGAAGAGAACTTCAGAGGGTCGCAATGCACTGAGGTTATAGTGAGGGTGTTTAAAATCTTCATAAAAAGAAAGTGTTTTTCGGAAGGGTCAGATGTTATCCTAAATGCCACAATTTGAGGGTGGTCTAAGATGCGGACTTCGCGTCAACGCTGGGCTGGAGTGGGTACGGGGCTGGGTCAGTGCGATGGAGTGACTTTTGTGATCACGTGTGCGAGTCTGTGTGTGTGTATGTGCGAGTGTGTGTGTCATTTGCGTGTGAAACTGGGCAGTCAGGTTGACAGGTTAGAAAGGCAAAGATAGAAAAAACGAGACAAAGACGAAATAAGTATGGATCGAGCTAACGGGCGAGCACGAAAGGGGAACGAAAGAATGACAGGAAAATATAAGACGCCCTGGAGAGAAAACTACTGGGCGCTAACAACGACGGATGCTCTCGGCGATGAACCCATTCGACCGGTAAGAAAAACGAAAATAAACGCTATCGTTTGACCCCGTTCAGCTGATCAGACCAGACGAAAATCGATTACTGCATAAAGGAAACAGAAGCAACACTAACGAACATGTATGGCCGAAAAATATCGTCGGAGAATAAAGACAAAGCACACACAAGGGAGAGCAGTGGATACAACAACATGTTGTCTATATA